ATAATAATAATAATAATAATAATAATAATAATAATAACTCCAGCCCAGCAGGAGGGTCTCCAAGACCCTGCTGCAACACAAAAGCTAATTCCCTTCTGATTTTTAACACCACCCCTGCCTTTCATGTATTACAGCTTGAAGATGTATAACTACAATGCAATGGATCTAAGTTTTTAAGGAACAGCAGGATTAAATATGCAAATATCAATTAGCCATCTCATTGTTGAGGCTTGGTTCCAGATGACTTCTGGCTTATGCTGAAAGCAAATCCTCTCTCAAAAGATAAAACTTTGCCATCTGTAAGGGTTTACAAAAGAATACGATGCCAGTCCCAGTGACAAATAACAGCGCCCAAAACTATATCAAGCAGTAATAGCATCATTGGAGTGAGTCTATAGTCTCATAAGGTGTAGAGTTTTTCCCCACATGCTTAATCATTCAGGGCAATTTTAATACTTCTGGATATCAGATGATATTAAGGAATTATCATTTTTTAGATGTGATAATGACACTAAGTTTTTTTAAGTCTATTTGAAAGATACACAATTATTTACAGATAAAGCATAGGATGGAAGGGATTTGTTTCAAAATAATCTAAAGAGAAGGGCTCAGGAGGGTGGGTGTCAGGAGGGAGCTAGTGATGAGTATACGGGGTTCTTTATACTATTCTCTCTGCTTTGGTATATGTTCGGAATTCTTCAAACTAAAAAGCTAAGCAAATTTGTTTTCTATCGGTCTATACCCCCTGGCCACCCCTGGTAGGGGAGATACACCCTGGATCAGGACATGGAGAGCCCCTGAGGATTCACAGTCCCACCACTAACCGTGTTGCTGTAGAAAATCTCTTATTTTGTCCTGTGCCCCAGTTCCCTGTCTGTGAGATACATATAATCCTAACCTTCCCACTCCCTGGCCCTCCACACACACGCGCACTCTCTCACACACACATTCCCAAACAGGCTACCAGGAATCTAAACAATCACATGTATAACATTTTGAACTCCTTGGGAAAAAGGTACAACATAAATAATGCATCATTAAGACCTCAGTACCCAAAAGTGTTATGTGAAGTTCAGTTTAGATGATTCAGAATTCCCAGAATCTCCACAGATCTTTCAGAAACTACCTCATGCTTAGTTTTCTAAGCCAGCTGAAAAAAAAGGAGCAGAAACAAAAAACACCCTGCTCCTACACAGGAGGCTTTTAGCAGCTCTGTTTACTCCCTGACACAAAGCCTTTGTCTATGTGTGACAGATGGTACTACATGCTTCTCTGCTCTCTCTACCTCCCTTCTCCCCTCCCTCCCTCACTTCATTTGATCCCCTCTGTTTCTTTGTCCCCATCTTTTTTTCCTTTTCTCCAATCCTTGGTGCCTTACACCACTCTCCTTGAACTTAAGGGCCAGCAAGAAGGGTCAGACAGAACGCCAGACCTTTGCCTGGGCTGACCGCTTATTCCATTAGGCTGCATGCACACAGTCGCTTCTTGGTTCAGAGCACTTATATTCGAAATATATAGTTTTTTAAATTTATTTATTTGAGAGAGAGAGAGAGCATGGCGGAGAGGGGCAGAGGGAGAGAGAGTTTCAAGCGGATCTGGGCTGAACACGGAGCCCACCGTGGGGCTCCATCCTACGACCCTGAGATCATGACCTGAGCCGAAACCAAGAGCCGGACGCTCAACAGACTGCGCCTTCCAGGCGCCCCGAAATATATTTTTGAAGACAAAATAACACACCTTTGAAATGATAAGGGGCTCAGAGCAAATATTAAAAGGCCCATAAATATTTACATAGCAGATTTCCATGGGTTGCTTTCTCAAAGTAATCGTAGTCAATGCATTCATGCGCACACATGTTCCTTCAGACACAGTCATTCCCAAAGAACAAATAACCTCTTACTCAATACATACTGTGATAAGCATAGTCTCTAAACCAGCCTGCGGGGGGGCAGCTGTGAAGGACTGGGCATACAAGAGTCCTCTCTCTATCCACATGGAATGCTGTTTCTGCCCTCAGCCCGTTTCCCAATCTGTTTCTTTTTTTGTAAAATGAAGGTACTCAAACAGATCTATAGACTCTTTCCAGTTCTAAATATTTGGATTCTATGAGGCTGTTAGAGAATGTCCATAAATCAGTCTACCTGACGCCACCACACCGGGTGGAGGCAGGGGAAGGTCTGTCAGAACGGATGTCAAACCAGTGCTTGAATGATGAGCAGTGTGATGGCAGAACATAGAGCTTAGGAGCAAAGGGAAAAGGAAAATAAATGGTATTAAGTTCAGTAGGGAAATAACTCATTTTTAAATAGGGTCTGAGAAGGGGATCAGATGGAAAGAATTGATAATAATAGAGACCAAGCAGGAATAGGAGGCAAGATTTGACACCTGCCTCAATGTCTAAGAAAAGATAGCAAAAAAGCAAAAATGGGCAAAAAGAGCTACATGCCTGTTGATCTCACCTGGTCTCCTGAAATTTATTCTCAGGTCTCAAACTTGCTTCCAACGGAGGCCTTCTCCAAGAAGTAGCATGCTGGCCCTTTTAGAAGGGGCCTTAACTTGGTGCCTTGTCCTACACAAGGGTAATTAACTATCCCCCCATGGCTACTCCCCCTCACCCCCACCCCCAACAAGAAAGAGTGAAGATCTGTGTTCAGAAAACTGAAGTCGCTATTTGAGAGTAGCTACATCTGCAAATGATTAACTCCAGGATTTATTACCAATTAGGACTATAAATCTCTGCTTACTTTGGCTCCTGGCAAGTTGATTTCACTGGGGGATTGGGCAGGGGGTGAGGAGAAAGTCATTGAAAACAAAGAGGGAGAAATCCAAGTTTAAAAAAGACCCACTTCAAATTCAAAAGGAGCAGGATTTCTCAAGCACCAAAGAGGAAAGCAGAACTTGACCTTGTGGTTCTAAGCAAACAGCTGTGCAGATGCCTGCAGGGTTAGCAAAGTCAAACGGACTAGTGCCACTCAGAAGGGGGGTGTCTGGGGTCTGGAAGGGGGTTGCATAACTGAGTGGCATCCGGTGGCCAAGCCCTAATATGGCTGGTGTTGGCAATGGAGTACGTGCTCAGAATCTAAGGGATTCCGGGTCTTGGCTGACCATTGGACTCACCTGTGAAGCTTTAAAACATACTTATGCTTCGATCACACTGCAGACCAATTAAAGCAGAATCTCTAGGGGTGGGGCTTGGGTTTAAGGGCAGTTCAGAAACTCCCCAAGAGACCTTCCAGCTGAAGCCAGGGTTGAAAGCCACTGCTTATCTCATTTCATCTTAATGGCAACCCCATGTTATAGGTACAGTGACTATCATGAAGAGAAAACTGAGGCACAAAGAAACTAAATAACTGGTGCAGGGTTACATGGCTAATAGTGATGGAGGCAGGATTTGAACCCAGTGTTCACACTCTTAATCACCGTGCCCTATGACCCCCCAAGGCAATGGTTCTCAGCTATTCCAAACCCTGAGCCTTCATGAGCTTTTCAAGATAGAAAATGGGGGTTCTCAAACTATTTTTTAATATTTATTTATTTGTTTTGAGAGAGAGAGAAAGAGCATGAGCAGGGGGACAGAGGGAGAGAGAATCCCAAGCCAACTCCGTGCTGAGCAGACCTTGAGATCACAGCCTGAGCCGAAACCAAGAGTTGGATGCTTAACCGACTGCACAACCCAAGAGCCCCTCAAACTATTTCCATATGTAATTTCAAAAAAATTATAATAGAAATGAAACATTAGCCCTTGTTAATGCTCCATATTAACTAGGAAAGAAGTTTCTTCCCTTTGCTTGGAATGACATCAACTAAGGAGGTTGCACTGGAAATTTCATGCTCATCAGAGTTCTCATTCATTCGTTCAACAAACATTAAGTGCCAGTTTTCCGCAGTCTCTAAAATAGAACCACCCTGGGGCGCCTGGGTGGCTCAGTCGTTAGGCGTCTGCCTTCGGCTCAGGTCATGATCCCAGGGTCCTGGGATCGAGCCCCACATCGGGCTCCCTGCTCAGCGGGAAGCCTGCTTCTCCCTCTCCCACTCCCCCTGCTTGTGTTCCCTCTCTCGCTGTATCTCTCTCTGTCAAATAAATAAAACCTTTTTAATAAATAAATAAATAAAAATTAAAAAAAATAAAATAGAACCACCCTGTGCAGATAATCACACAGAAAACGTTCTAAGGGCCGGAACAGCGGCAGGCACCAGACACTCTGAGAGCCCACAGAAGAAAGTGAACAGCTCTGAGTAGCAGTAATATAATACTCCTTCGGTGAGTGAAAAATGGCAAAGTAAACAATAGGGCAATATATACGCATTGCTCAGTGGTGAAATAAAAGATGGCATCCCTAATTGGGGGTGTGGGATAATAAAATGCTACAAGAAGGTTGGGGACCCACTGTGGGTGATCCGCAGATATTTAAGCCAGGGCGGAAAATGCAAATTCCTGGTTGGCACCTACATGAGTGTAGTGAACAGGGAGGTGGGGACAGAGGTGACTAGGGAGCCCATATTCTATCTAAAGAGGCAGCCAGGGCTCACCTCCAGCCAAAACTGCCATATAGGAATGTGGGAGTAGTGTCATGAGACCTGACGTTTTTAGGGGAAGCTGTAAATATGGGTTGCTTAATGCAAGATATCCCAAATTTTTTTAAAGACTTTATTTATTTGAGAGAGAGAAAGTGAGCAAGCGAGCGAGAGAGCACAAGAGAATTAGGGTCAGAGGGAGAAGCATGTTCCCTGCTGAGCAGGGAGCCAGACATGGGACTCGATCCTGGAAGCCCAGGATCATGACCTGAGCTGAAGGCAGTCACTTAACCAACTGAGCCACCCAGGCGCCCCAGATATCCCAATTTTTAAATGACATCTAATTCGAGTCTTTTCCGGACACGATGTAGACCAAAGAAAACATATCTACCGCCAGCCCTGCTTTCACCATTGAGTATCTCCCGGCTAGTCCCATGGATCCCAGAGCAACTGTTTATTCGCCTGTGCCTTTCTCCCCGCTGCAGGTATGCTCATTTATTTCGGGTACGGCATCTGGAACAGCACCCTGGAAATCAGCGCTCGAGAAGAAGCCCTGCACCAAAGCACGTACCAGCGCTACGACGTGGATGACCCTTTCTCGGTGGAGGAGGGTTTCTCCTACGCCACGGAAGGCGAGAGCCAGGAGAACTGGGGCGGGCCCACCGAGGACAAAGGCTTCTATTACCAGCAGATGTCAGATGCTAAGGCCAACACCCGGACAAGTAGCAAAGCGAAGAGCAAAAGCAAACACAAACAGAACTCAGAGGCCCTGATCGCAAATGATGAGTTAGATTACTCTCCCGAGTAGGAGTAAACACACAAATGTGGCGATTTCTTTTCAGGCACTTAACCTGTGGGCTAGAGGGTGAAAACATTTTTGGCTCTCATTTCAAAAGTCCAGCCTTCCCCCAGAGTCAGTCCCCAGTCATAGCCTGTCATTTGCTACTTTTGTTCTTCAGGATAGTTCTGTTGAAGGGTTTCACCTGGGTTTCATCACTGATCCCCTTGTAAAATAAATAAATAAATAAATAAACCAGAGGCTGCAAGAAATTCTATCGTAGGTGCAACCATCAGAGCTGATGGCAGCAAATGTTTCCTAGGCCTTTGCTTTGCTGGTTGAATCTTTTTGCTTCTTACGGAGGCAAGGGGCCTCACTTCTTGAGCCACACTGAGGCCACAGCTCCTCCTGGAGATGTGCCAAAGCAGGTGGGTGTGGGCACCAGGCAGCATTTCCACCACCGGGATCACCCGGGGAAAGATCCTCCGAGCACGCCCTGCTGAGAGCTGCTCCCCGAGGATGTGTGCAGGTGGACGCTGCACTTCCTCAGCAAGCAACACTTGGTCCTGAAATCTCACAAAAACGAATTCATGGAGAAGACGCATGCTTCTTCTTAGTCACCAAGGTTCTCACAGTCTTCAAACTCTAACTTTAGGATCCAGCAAAGGTTAGGGACTCTGAGACCATTTCCCCAGAGGTTTCAGAGTTACCATAAAGCAGTCTTGCTTATTGCTACTTCAATGACCAGAAAAAAAAAATTAGCCATCTCTTGCCGTGAAGGCCAGAAGGGCGTTGGCAGAAATTAACTCTCGGTCATACCTTTTCTTCGACCAGCCTCTAAGCTCCTGCTAATATAATGAAAGGGGGCATAGTTGGAGCATGATTTCATGGCGTTAATATGCCTTGAAGAAGGAGGCCGCTTGTTTTCGAATCAGATAAAAATCTTTACAAGGAGATGTGACCCAGCCACTGAGATCACATTGCAAATTCTATTTCAGATTTCCAAAATTACAAATTGTGTTGTTTGTTGAGATTTGCCACCACTTGAGCGGTGGGGGCCCCTCTGAAAACAAAACTGTTGAAGCTCAGCTACTTAGGTAATGGCATTCCTAGAGATCACATTTCACTTCTGAACCTTACTCCTCCCGAGTAGCTCACTTTTAGATACATATTTTGTCTGTTATTTCCCAGAGCAGGTTTACTGAAGCCCAGAGAGATACCTACCTGGTAAGGTCTACATCGGGCCCTAATGGGGACTCTTAAAGGAATTTTCTCAGAAATAACCTAGAGGAGAGAATGTGCGGCAGGAAAAAACACATGGTCTATCAGTTTTACTCTTGGGTCCCCAGGATTCCCTCGGCTGCCCTGAGATGTGCATGTGTGAACGTGAAGGCCTAGTTTCGATCAAGCTACAGTCTTTGTGGGGCTTCCTGAAAGGGGGGCAAAATAGCAAATTTCTCTCTCCCAGATCTAGCATTATGCCAAAAGTTTTCCAAAATACATCAACTAATGTAAAGCTATTCTTTGTTAAAAGGTTGAGGTTCGTACCATCTTGGTATGCCTTAGGATTACAGAGAAGAGGCAAAAGTCCATTTTTTCACTCAGTGAACACTGAGACTGTATCAAGTGCTAAGCAATGGGAATAGAACGAAGTGTAACATTATGCCCTTGGGAGCTCCCAGGACAGGGAATGAGCAGCACTGGCCCCTGACAAACGCAGATAAAACCACCAAGCCTGACAAGTCTTCCTGGTTGATGCCCTGGGCTTTAATATAGAATAAAATAAAAGGTTAATTGAAGATAGTTTTTTTTTTTAAACATGATTTTAGGTAAATTGCATATCTCACCCAGGGCCAATGAATGCCAGTAAATTCAAGCAACTCCTATTTTCTAGAACTTCTTTTCCATTCCTCTGTATTAATTCTTTAGAATTCTGGTTTCCTCGGGTAATGTTGTCATTTTAATGTAATGCATGGCAATGCCATGTTTTCTCTTCCCTAAATTTAACCCTAAAGATACAGTGCCTGGTCTGTGAAATATATCCTTAGGGATGAACTGTGGACTAATTATCAGTAATTTTTTGTGAATACAAAGTTTTGAACTAGTTTCGAGACTCAACAAATCTGCCTAAACTAAATACAACGTGTGAGACCTGAAATATCCAGATAGATGGGGTGGGGCTATATTCATTAAAAATGTCCAAAAAGAAATATGAGTGTAAAATAACAAAATCTTAACATGGGTGAAAGAGCTCCCCTTTAGCAGTGAGGGTTGGTAACGATAGTTCGGTGGTGGATGTATGAAATTTCTGTAGCATGAGGAGAGAGAACGCAGAGTAAACACCGTTGGTATTGATTTTGTGAAGATCCTATGAACCACTCTGGTTCTGGAGACATTTCTCCCAAGTAGTATCTCCTTCTTTTTATAATCTTGGTCTCTATTTCTCTAAAGTTAGTCATCTCCCTAACAATCTTGGTTTAAAAAAAAAAAATAGTAAGATAGAAAAAAGATTTTTAAGGTAAATTGACATGTTTTAGTTCATGTTTCCCAGCCTCTGTGAAATGGTCCCAGATTTCACAATGCAGTTTCAAATACCATCAATTACTAGAATGATTCTATTAGTGTTTCCTAGCAATTTTCTCAAGACCACGTTAGTGGAATCGCATTAAAAGTAAGATCATCTTATAATTACCATAGAAACTTAGCCTTGAATGGAGTCCAAGAAAGACCTACATCTTACTGAATTCTTCTCTCCTGCAAGAGCTTTTCCAGGGAGGTTTCATCGTGTGAATTAGTAGTGTGGAAACAATTACTTGATTTTTTTTTTTGTAATTGTATTCTATTTATTGGTACTCTGCTTCCTTTCAGAAGGATTTCAAGGTGGCTATTGAAATACATATAATGCAAAAAAATAAGTGAGGAGCTTGGGTAAATAAAAACAGAAATAGAAAGGATAAGACGAAGCTAGAAGTGTGTTTAGTGCACAAATGCAAAATCTTGATATGCATTGCTAAATTTGCCGATGGGGGGCAACTTGAAAAATAATGAAATCGTTGGTAATGACATGAAGAACTACTCCTGCATGATAAGAACAAATCTTTCCCCATGAGGGCAGAGAATAGCATAGATCATTGAAACCCACGTACAAGCTTCAGACTTAGATTTTACCAGCTACATGTGCCTGGCATAGAACGGATGTTCAATAAATACCTAATAATCGGATGAATGGCTGAATAGATGGGTGAAAGGAAAATGAAATATTATTTATTCAAGAATTTTTTGTGGAGTCCTTATCTGTGCTATGACCTAAGACATGGGGGAAATAGGATATATAAGATATATAAATAAAAACCATAGTGAAGGTGACATGTGAGATGAGGGACTTACAAGGTGCAACGAGAGTTCAAATACGGAAAAGACCGCCTTCCACTGGGAAAAATGATAGAGATTGCAGTCTTTGTGTTGAGCCCTGTGGAATGGGCAGAACATTTCCCCCAGCTAGAAATGGGGAAAAGGCTTGCCAAGTGGAGAATCAGCATGAGTAGGGAGGAGAGGGGCTGACAGCTATCTCTGACTAATAATGTGTACTGTGCCTCCTTCAGGGGAAAGCAAGAAGCTAGTCTGACAGGAGCTTAGGATGTATGCATGATTGATCTATGCAACAGTACGAAATAATGCTAAGAAGGTGGTGAGGGCTTATTCACAAATAGACTTAAACAGCGAACTAAGCTGGCTGGCTCTCCTTGGGTGGGGAGACACCGGGGAAATGATGAACCTATGAATCAGGGAGGGCTGGGCTTTAAGAAGCTGGGTCGGTGGCTTCATCCACCTGTGTATGGAGCTAACAGATCACATACACATTTCAAATTGACTTAATATGTTAAAGGGAAAAAAATATCCAAATTAAAGCAATGTATGATTGATTCTTCTTTTGAATCCTGTCTGATTTCATCATTAACCTAGAAGCATAGTCATTTAACATGTAGACAGACAACACAAAGTTATTCACAACCATTTTAAAGTTTTCAACAGTAATTTTAAACAACCAAACCTAATAATTTTTTCTATCTAACTAATCTAAAAAAGTAAAACCTCAGCTCCAGCTTTTACTCAGCTTGAGTGCAAGGCCACTTTGAACTGGTGAAAGGAATCAGATGATAGAATTGGGTGAAGAAACCAATTCTACTACTTAGTAACAAACTGACAGCTAATCAAATGTCTACATCGTGGTCATGATGTTAGATACACAGGGGGAAAAATGTTGAATTTAATGATGCATTTCTGTAGATATAAACCCAGCAATTATTGGGAAACAAAACACGAGCCCCTTCAAAAAAAAATGTCTTTCCCCTATTCTCCTGAAAAGGACTGATAAACTTGACCTCCTTCACATCACATTTGTTGGAAGTCTACAAGGGAATACCTTTTCTCTGCATGATAAATAGAAGTTACAGGAGTTTGAGAATCAGCTCATGAGACTAGAAGAAATGGCGTCCCCTCTCCCCAGCTTTTACCGGGGACTGAGATGTCCGTGGAAGTCCATGGAGGGTCAGCCACAGGTTCACCTAATTTTGCATCTCAGAGTGGAGAAGTCAGAAGTTGGGGAGCATGTCCAAAGCCAGGGCTGGGACCAACTCACTGAATCCAGGCAGAGTTAATGGCCCTCTCTTAGATGTAAGCTTTCAGGCTAGCGAACAATCCAGAGATGGCCTTAGTTTCTGATGCTGGCAGGGGGAGGGGGAGTGAAGAAAACACACATTAGGGCTGCATGACAAACCCATGTTTATGCCATGTGGAACAAGACTAGTCAAAGAGGGTGTTTCTAACCAAAATTTTCATGGAGCCTCGGTTTCTTCTGCATGCTTGTATCTCCCTGACACCGAGGATCCGTTTGTCTTCAAGGGCCCTTTGGAGGCCCTAAGAGAGAGAGAGGCACCAGCTGATAACCACTGATGGCCTGGCCGTGAAAGAGCCAATATTTGTAAATAAACCGCAGGCAAAGCCAGAAACCGCATCCCAAACCGCAGGCC